GTGAAAGCCGGTCTTTGCATTTTGTGTAAATATTTAAAGCACCTTTATAATGATGATTCATACTTCCACCACATGTATGCAGTATAGCCGCCATCATGAACATGAGATCATGTTGCTGCTGAAATCCCAGAGTGCATTCCAAAGTATATTATCAGCTCCCTTGGGATCATTGAATCCTGGATGCCTTAGAGAGTAAGCCATATTTTTACGAGGTTCCATATAAGTAACATTCCTTGTGTGTTACTGAAGACATTTTCTTTCACCACACTTTAACACATCCCAATATCATTTATAATAAACTTTCAAGCATTTCCACAGCAAACGAATGTTACCAATGAGCAGCTGAATGGTCGGTAAACGTTTTGAAATACTTTGTCACTCACCCACACACTGGTTTTAAAGACAGTGAGCATTTAAACATCAGTGATCTCTGAGTATATTGCATTCTGGATATCCACGTCCAAGGGGTCATCCCTTAAATGGCGCCTGATCTTTGAACGACGTGCGTAATACTTGTGATTCTGAGTATGTGCATTCTGGATATCCGCGTCCAAGGGGTCATCCCTTAAATGGCGCCTGATCCTTGAACCACGTGCAAGGGAGCTGCAACATGTTTATTAGTACCAGCTAATAAGCCGCTGCTTCTCAAATGAGTGAGTGAGTTAAGTTTTACGACGTTTTTAGCAATGTTCCAACAATATCACGGCGCAGGACACCAGAAATGGGCTTCATACATTGCACCCATGTGGGGAATCGAACCCGAGTCTTCGGCGTGACGAGCGAACGCCGTAACTACTTGGCTACCCCAACGCCCTGCTTCTCAAGCCACACCTGTCAATAAGCTAATTTGGCTCTTTACAACTGAAGGCACGAATGGGTCACTATCGAGAATGAAATATAGAGCGTTATATGTGTGACAGTATAAAACTGGTCATGCAGTGGTCTGGTCAATTCACATCAACAGATCTCATAACGACAGCACCGAGGGACGTTTGAAGGTAGTCCGTAGGTAGGCCTAGGTAGTCCGTAGGCCAAACAATACTGCATATGTCATGGATACAACAGACAACGTCTCATGGGAACTGCACAGTATACTTTCAATGACAGCAGTGGCTACATCATTCCCCTTATCATATAGGTATATGCCTTTTCAGCTGATCTTTTCATTCTTAGGTTTATCTATGAAAACATATACTGTAAAACCTGAATATCACTTTAAGAGGCAACAGCCACTTTTAGGACAAAATACATTCATACCAAGCACCGAGGCAATCATAAATACACCAGTCTGCCTTAGGACAATGTCAGTCATATCAGGGACGATGGCAGCAATATCAAGGTCGTCACGCCGAAGGCCCTGGTTCGATTCACCACATGGGTACAATGTGTGAAGGCCATTTCTGGTGTCCCCTGCCGTGATATTGCTGGATTATTGCTAAAAGCGGCGCAAAACCACATTCACTCACTCAATATCAAGGACAATGTCAGTCATATCAGGGTCGATGGTAGCAATATCAAGGACAATGTCAGTCATATCAGGGACGATGGTAGCAATATCAAGGACAATGTCAGTCATATCAGGGACGATGGTAGCAATATCAAGGACAATGTCAGTCATATCAGGGTCGATGGTAGCAATATCAAGGACAATGTCAGTCATATCAGGGACGATGGTAGCAATATCAAGGACAATGTCAGTCATATCAGGGACGATGGTAGCAATATCAAGGACAATGTCAGTCATATTAGGGACGATGGTAGCAATATCAAGGACAATGTCAGTCATATTAGGGACGATGGTAGCAATATCAAGGACAATGTCAGTCATATTAGGGTCGATGGTAGCAATATCAAGGACAATGTCAGTCATATTAGGGTCGATGGTAGAATATCAAGGACAATGTCAATTAGGGTCGATGGTAGCAATATCAAAGACAATGTCAGTCATATTAGGGACGATGGTAGCAATATCAAGGACAATGTCAGTCATATCAGGGTCGATGGTAGCAATATCAAGGACAACGTCAGTCATATTATTATAAGTAATTCAAAGACAATGATAGCCATATCAAGGATAGTCGTAGTCCTATAAAGGACAACAATGGTAGACATATCTAGGACAATGGTAGTCAGATCTAGGGCAATGTCATATTAACGACAAAAAATAATATTAAAAACAGTAGAGAGAGAGAGAGATATTTAGTTTTTTAGGCTTATAGACGCTATATATCCGGAATAAGAATAAAGACACACAAGTAGCTCAGCATTGTGTATTTGGCGATGCGATTTGTACTTATAATCAGCTTGACTGTATATCTGGCTGTTTACATCTGTACAAATAGCATCTATATATTAGACTGAAATATCACAGGCATGTTTATGGTTATAACATATTATAACACGACTTATTTCTTTGTGTTCCACTGTACCTATGGCAGTGTATGAAATAAGGCCCGTCCGACCGCCCGAGACGGGCTAGATTTCTGACGGACGGTCTAGATTTACAGCTAGCCAGCCCGATGATCTGGTAAAACTTTTAGATGTTCCATACATATCTTGGTGTCTGGTCTGGTTAAATCCATTTTGGGCTGGTAACATGTTGAAGTTACCAGCCCTCATGTCTGACTGGGTTTGGGGCTTATTTCATACACTGCCTATGGTTTCATGGCAACACCGTGCAGATCGGTACGAACATACATAATTAATTGAATACATATTTGTCTATTAGAACATTTTTCTTGTCAAATGTTAAGATTATAATCGTCTGGTTACTTACAAAAAAGGCAAATATTCGTTTAATTATGCATGGAATGTCTGGAAATCATATATTTTTAGCCAAGCCTTAGCACAAAAGGGTCGTATTTAGGCAGAAAAGAATATAGACAGTCATATGTATAATCAGTACAGTCATATCGTGTTTGAAGAGTCATGTCAAGAGTACAGACAGTCATATATGGGTAAAGTAGTCAAAGTTGATAAAACGTTAATATTTTGGAAGAAAACAAACAGTTTACTATAAGTCAAGCTTATGTCCAGTAGCAAAGAGGCATGTGTAGTGATTGAATGAGTGTGTTTTATGCCGCTTTTGGCAATATTCCGGGTGGGACGCCAGAAATGGGCTGCACACACTTGTCACAATTGGCTCAAACATCGCTCAGCGTATTTTTGGCATCTCATGTTTTTTCTTTGGGGTACAGATTTGTAAATTCCTTCCTCACCCTTGACCTTACTGAAATAATTTGTTTTGCCAGAAAATTACAAAGCTTTGCAGCGTCTGGCCATGCTCACCAGACAGGGTCGGCGCCGTGTCCTGATCAGGACCGTCACATGTTCGGTGTAGGAACTGTCTGGTTGCCATGGTATTCCATGGATGTTGTGCTGCTGCTGGTGTAGATTGACGATTCGTCCACGGTGTGTACAATCGGTGTAGTCCTGAAGACAGGTCGTTGACCAACGCTTCTCGCAAACAGGAGGTGTGGTGAAATTGGGTTTAACGTCGTACTTGAGAATATTTCGCTCATATGACGACGTGCATGCGTGTGTATGTGTATGTGCGGCTGCTTGTACTAGCCCAGACTTAAGCTGGTTTTATAGTGCTTGCCCACTGAGATACCATACCGCAGTGAAGCATGAATACCGCACTCAGACACATTATAGTGACTCCGAGCCGACCAGTCCTTGTTGTACCCATTAATGCCGAGCGCCAGGCAGGGACCAACAAGGACCATATTTTAACGTCTTTTGGTATGACGCGGTCGGGGATCGAACCCGCGACCTTCCGCTCTCCGGGCGTACGCTCTAACCATTACACCACGGAGGCGGTCCGCAAACAGGAGGACAAAAGGTGTTAGAATGTTGTTCCGGGACTGTCTCGGGAGGCTTACTCATAGTGCTGCAGCATGACATAACCGACGATCTTCGATCATGAGGTCTGACATAGGTTTGACCTTCATTCCGACGTCACCAGACATGTCACAAATGTTACCTCACAATGAAGAGTGAGTGAGTTTAGTTTTACACCGTTTTCAGCAATATTTCAGCAATATCACGGCGGGGGACAACATAAATGGGCTTCACTCATTGTACCCATGTGGTTTGGTTTGGTTGGTTCCCCCAAATTATTGAACTTATTTTACGTTGTTTTTAATACAGTCAAGCACCGTTGTCTCGATATTCATGGGCCCAAGAAAAAATATCGAGTTATCCGAACTTCGAGACATCCTATGGAAGAGGGTGGGTGGGTTAGGTTGTAGAGCTCTTTTAGTCCCAGTCTAGCAGCACCGAACGAGGACGGGGGTTCAGACATTTTACCTATATGTTTTACGCCGCTTTTAGCAATATTCCAACAATATCACGGCGGGGGACACCAGAAATGGACTTCATACATTGTACCCGTATGGGGAATCGAACCTGGGTCTTCGGCGTGACGAGCAAACGCTATAACCACTAGGCTACTCCACAGCTCCCGGACGAGAAAGACATGATATGGATAGAGTTAACTTTTCCTGTTAAATGCTGTACCCTATGAAGCATGTGAATAAATTCTGAATCCCAAAGCTACACACATTTCTTGTCCTAAGTTTCACAAGCTTGTGTTCTATAGATTTTTGGGGGCAGTGGGGTAGCCCAGTGGTTAAAGCGTTCGCTCGTCACGCTCGTTAATGCAGCACTGTTCATTTTCACCCGTTTTCACGAGAGTTGTTATTTGACAAAATTTCACCCCACCCCCTCTGGATCCGCCTGTGCTGATAATTGATCGGATGGTTTCTTTCGCTATTCAAAACTTTAAAACGTATAACTCTTAAAACTGTCTTTATTTTGTGCTATTATTAACGCTACTGCTTCATTTTCCATCGATTTGGACGTCTTTTTGTGTAGGATAGCGTGGAAGCTTCTTTCGGTTGTTGTGTCAAAAGATTGAGCTCTGAACAAAGCCAGCACAGCAAACGCTGTGTGGAGTCGGCAAAACCGGAAGTTTACAAGGGGAAGTAATCATCAAACGATGCGAAATGTCAGAAGGGGAAAGTCTTCAGATTTCTTTTCAGATTTTATTCCTTCATATCTGGTCATGCTTAAAACTCTACCTCATCGGAGTATACGCATTGCTTAAAGAACTAGCAGAGAAAACAGTAGTACCTGTGTTTGAGGGTAGGGATCACTACATAGTTACAGATTATTTCATTTTCGAATTCCTGCAGATTGAACGAAGTGTTGTAAAATATCGGCATGATACGGTTATGCGTTTTCTTTGTGTTATATTTATTCATAAGTAGGAAAATGCGGCATTATTGACTGCAGTGATGCCTAACACTAACGAGTGGTCTCAATATATGAAAAAAGATGGATTAAGAAAACTATAAAGCTCTAAAACAGACCTAGAAAAGAACTTTAGGTAGGGTGAGATTTACACAGAATTAGAGCTGTGGCGATATATCGTAGTAGTATCGATAATCGTGATACTTTTTCTGACAGTAAATATATCTATACTTTTTTCCGTATCGTGATATATATCGTTGACCTTTAAATTGTGAATTTTTTTTACTAGAAATTGACGGTTATGTCAAAATTTACACTGTTTCTTGTTATCAAAATACACTTTTTTAAAGAAAATAACTAAAGATAGCATATCGTGATATGCATCGTATTGAATCATATCCTTCCATGATATATCGCAATACGTATCGTATCATGAAATTTCTGTATCGTCACACCTGTAGTGAGAATAATTCTCCTCTTTACCCTATATTTGCTTGAGGCAGGGTAAATCATTTGGATGATGTGCATCATTCCTTATTATACGGTAGTATTTTGTTTGAATCATGATGTTGCATAAACGTTATAAACACGATTGAGATGTATTTATCACATGAATGACATGGATTTAACATTACTTCATACATTCTCCCTTACAGATACCAGTGATGGACTGGTAGCCATAGTAACAGGGGGAGCATCTGGCATTGGATATCAAGTTACCAGGAAATTGGCTCTGAAAAATGTCCACGTTTTCATAGGTAATGCAATTAAGCAGGTGAAAGCCTAATAACCAGGTGGTGCATTAAACAGTTATTGATGATCATAATTGAGTTTTCTGTGTTCCTATGTTGTATGTCATGTTAAATCATTTTAATGTTGAAAAATGTAAATGTTTATGTGAGATAAATTAATAATTTAGTCCCATTTTTGCTAATTCTGTACAGATTCCTTATAAACATGGAAGATTTATTGATAATAATATGTCATGATACATCCATAATTATTTCAACAGCTGGCAGAAGTAAGCAGGAAGCTGATGAAGCTATAGCGAAGATCAGAGCTGAACTGTCAACAGTTAGAGGTCAGAAAAATAATATTATTAATAGATTTTTAATATGTAATCACCATACAATGAAAATGAAAGAACAAAAGTTATGTGAAGAAATACACTGAACATACATACAGCATTAACCACTGTTAACACAGAAAGCCAGTGTCTTTCATGGCAGATTTAGAGGTTTATGGTTCCAGTAATTACATTTTGTAACTCTGGAAAAAATATGCATTCATGTGCTTGTATGGATAACATTTGCAAACCCCTGTACACAGCTGGGAATTGTGGAGTCTATGTCTATTGAACAACTACAAGAGTCCACTCCTGTTCATTCAGGTGGATGTTGTATGGTACATTGGGTGAGCTGGTCCCATTTCCACAAATGGATGGGAGCACTTGGGTTATAATACATCTGGTCTTTTTACAATTAGTATACAATGGAAATGAATCATCAAAGCTTAGGTCAAGAAACATACTGAACATACTACAAATCAGTGTATTGACCACTGTTAACAGAGATAGCCGATGTCCTTTACTGACAAACTCTTTCTGGTTTGCATGCAACGATGCATATCAGCAATTATCTTTTTAAACTTTGGAAAAACATTCATGTGCTTGTATGGATAACATTTGCAACAGCCTCTAAACAGCTGGGATTCATGAAGTTCATCATGTTTTAAAATGAATATGACCATTGAACAACTGCAACAGTAACAGTCCACTCCTGTTAGATTCAGGTGGATGTTTTCATGTACATTTGGTGAACGGGGCCCATTTCTATAAAGGGATGGTAGCACTTGGGGTATTTTAAGCCTGTATTAAAAAGTAAGGTTTGATCATCCTAGTTCTACAGTTCCTGTGTGGAACTGGGTGCTGATCTCCACTGCTTATGTCTGACCCTTATACAGCGAAATACGAGAGAGCAACCTCCTCAGTTATGTCAGTGGTGTTATGAATTATGGGGAGCAATAACAGTTACATATTTAGTGATTTATGCAGAATGCGTCGTAAAACTAAACTCACTCACTATGATCATTGGTCAGCACCACACCTGTACAGAACCAATATCATTCTGTTCTTGGTCGTGCTTGAAGTGATTAACCCACAATTGTCTTTTCTAGTTCAATTCCTACACCTGGATCTAGCATCTCTGACATCTGTCCGGTCATTCGTAGAGAACTTCCAGCACACAGGGTTGCCGCTGCACATCTTGATCAACAATGGTATGTGTCAGAGACATTGACGGATTACTGACTGATTTTATATGGCTTTGTCAAAGTCAAGGATCTAAGATAAGAAAAGTAAGGCTGAAGAGTTGAATGAATGCCAAGATGATGGTCATGGTGCAGAACCACAAAGCAATCGTAGTGTTACGATCTCTGGTGCCGGTATACTTTATCATAGCCTTACAAATACTATGAACAGTTTGTGGATAGGACCCCTGGACTGCTATAGACACATATCCATTTTCTGTCAACGACACTTCATTTTGAGTCATGAGTAGATGCAATGTGATAGTGATTGCTGCAAATAATGCGGACTGAAGTTATAAGTATATGAGGGACACTCAATTTCACCGCAGTTAATATGAACATTCTTTTGTGACATGTGAGTAAAATTAATATTAATAAACTAGATTGCAAACATAAGTCCAGATATGCAAAGAACATGTTTTCTCATGAGATAGTATAACAACAGGATTAACTTTCATAATCCAATATTGATTTGCTGCCATTCTATCCCTAGGCTTATCTATGGGATCAGCTTTTCTACCGTAATATACGGTGGTTCACTTGTGAGTTAGTATTTTTGCAGTGCTTGTAGCATCTTTGACTAGGGACCATTAGTATCAATGACTAGGGACAAAAGAAGCAGGCATCAAATTTTGTACACCTGATGGTGACTTAACTACATGAATGATCAAATACATACAACAATAACCGGTAGCTTAACATCTGGACTTGACATTGTTTGATCATGTAATTCTCTGTCCTTGGCTGTATGAACACAGTCTGTGTGGCTTCACAATGAAGCTTTCGCTAGCTAAGACTTAAAAAGTATATATGAATCTTTGACTGTGCAATCAACAAGCTATCGGTCCAAAGTCACAGTAATTGTATACATGTAGCTAGGGACCATTCATGTTTATGGCTGTAGGAGGCATGATGATGATTTTTATGGAGGGCAACACCCACCACCCCAATGTGAACCCCACCCACCCCTCACACACCATTAAAATTTTATGTACAAAGTAAGTGAACCCATTGCATGTCATGTACAAAATCAATGACACACACCCCTCGATAATTTTTAAGCATTTGTTTATAAAAATGTAATGCCGAAATTTATGTACAGAATTGACACCTCCCCTCCCCAGAACAGAATGGGTGACCCCCTTAAAATCATCATAACCCCTCTAGCCATAAATTCTGAACAGTCTGTTATAAGTCTTGGGCGATAAGTTATAACTTGATACTGCTTACTAAGTAAATGTACAGCCTTCAATAACACCGTTTCTATACCATCATAGAATTCCATAGCAGCCATGGAAGTTCCTAGTCTCTTTACCCGTGAAGGTACGGGTTAGAAAATTGGCCTTCAGTAACCCATGCTTGTCGTAAGAGGCAACTAACGGGATCGGGTGGTCAGGCTCGCTGACTTGGTTGACACATGTCATCGGTTCCCAATTGCGCAGATCAATGCTCATGCTTTTGATCACTGGGTTGTCTGGTCCAGACTCGATTATTTACAGACCGCCGTCATATAGCTGGAATATTGCTGAGTGCAATGTAAAACTGAACTCACTCACTCCTAGTCTCTTTATGTTTGATTTGGTGTCTTCATTTCTGTAATCAAATATGCCAGCATATTTGGGAAAGTCATGAGAACTGTGATCACATGTTATTTTCTGTCACGTCTCTATCCAAGCTGATACAGTGTAAAGCATGGATCTGTACTGACATTATTTGGAAGGATTCACTAAGATCTGTGAACTTATATAACACCTGGCATTTACTCAAAGCAGAGGGTAGTTGGATGTATCAATACCAGGGGTATATGCAGCTTTTTGAGAAAGGGGGTGCACACTATTGAGAGGGGGGGGGTTTGCACACTTCATTTTTACCTGAGTTTCAATGGTCATTAAACAAACTTTCAGGACAAAAGAGGGGGTGCGCACCCCTGCACCCCCCCTCTCGATCAGCCTATGAATACTGTATATTCAACACAGGTGTTTGTTCAGAGATTTGGGATAATGCAATGTTGACTTATTTTGGGAAGGTTGTAATCATGCATTTGAAATTTGTCAATTGTTGCCATGGTTTCATGTTTCTGCCTTTATAATTCTTGAAGAGATGCATGTTTTATGTATACCAGCTACTGGTAATGTAATTTTAAAGGTATGTGTTCATCATAAGCAGAGATTTATCTGAATGGATTGTGTCTTCCCCAGCTGGGGTTATGCTGGTTCCCTACTCTGAAACCGAAGATGGACTGGAGACTCACTTCCAGGTGAACTACCTGTCTCACCTGTACCTCACGTCGCTGCTGCTGAACAAGCTGAAAGCCTCTGGTAAACCAGACAGGTGTGCTCACATCATCAACGTGTCCTCCGTTGTACACTGGGTTGCTGATGCCACCGACATCCAGCCAAGGTGAGGAGTCGGACTAGAGCTGATCATTCCTGTCTCTGAGTGTGGTTACCATTCTGGTGCAGAGTTGTGTCCCTTGTTTATGCTAGGATTTGCAGTTTGAGGGTTCAGATCACGATATACTTCCTCATTACTGATTTTCGTATGTTTACATCATACCTAAGTGTGGTTACGATGGTTTTAGCATTTTGGAAAAGTGCAGGGTCATTTTCTGTTTTGGCACCCTGGTAATTTTTTTAGAAAATGCAGCACTGGTTATTCTTGGGCTGTTATTTTTGTTCCCCTTCAGTGTACCTGAATTCCACAGAAATTGTCCCAAATGCATTTTGTGAAGTGTGCTTGAAATGGGTCTGTGTGCCCGTTGTTTCCTGCAGCATAAGACCCGTGAAGGTCTGGGTTAGAATATTGATCTTCAGTAACCCATGCTTGTCGTAAGAGGCGTCGAACGGGATCGGGTGGTCAGGCTCGCTGGCTACATGTCATCGGTTCCCAATTGCGCAGATCGATGCTCATGCTACCGCCGCCATATAGCTGGAATATTGCTGAGTGCGGTGTAAAACTAAACTCATTCACTCACTCCTCCAGCATTGAAGCTGGTATACAACCCAGAATACTGTTCAAACCCTGCTTCACATGAAAAGTAACTAACAAGATTGGTGGTTAATCCTTGTCAATGTATCCAAATGACATAGATTGATGCTGATGATGTCAATCACTGACTTGTCTGGTCTAGACTCGGGTATTTACAGACTGCCATCATATTGCTGGAATATTGTGTGATATTAACAACAAACAAATGAAGTATTCAACTTTCATGCACTCACTCACTCCACTATGGATCTCATAGGGCAGGTGGGGCGGTGGGGTAGCCTAGTGGTTATAGCGTTGGCTCATCACGCCGAAGACCCGGGTTCGATTCCCCACATAGGCACAATGTGTGAAGCCCATTTCTGGTGTCCCCTGCTGTGATATTGCTGGAATATTGCTAAAAGCGCGTTAAACCAAAGTCAGTCAGTCAGTCAGTCATAGGGCAGGTACATGTTCCTGGAAAGATGACTCAAATGACAATACGTGGTTGGTCACCTCCAGGACAGTCCAACTCTCCACTTGTTACATGCTGTATTCTGTATGATAGTTCACAGCAGGTCTTCACAAAAGTTGAAACTGATTAAGCTGGCATGTGTAAACATCACGTGATGTGGGGCGGTGGGGTAGCCTTGTGGCTATAGCGTTCACTCATCACGCTGAAGACCAAGTTCGATCCCTCACATAGGTACAGTGTGTGAAGCCCATTTCTGGTGTCCCCTGCTGTGATATTGCTGGAATATTGCTAAAAGCGCGTTAAACCAAAGTCAGTCAGTCATAGGGCAGGTACATGTTCCTGGAAAGATGACTCAAATGACAATACGTGGTTGGTCACCTCCAGGACAGTCCAACTCTCCACTTGTTACATGCTGTATTCTGTATGATAGTTCACAGCAGGTCTTCACAAAAGTTGAAACTGATTAAGCTGGCATGTGTAAACATCACGTGATGTGGGGCGGTGGGGTAGCCTTGTGGTTATAGCGTTCACTCATCACGCTGAAGACCAAGTTCGATCCCTCACATAGGTACAGTGTGTGAAGCCCATTTCTGGTGTCCCCTGCTGTGATATTGCTGGAATATTGCTAAAAGCGCGTTAAACCAAAGTCAGTCAGTCAGTCAGTCATAGGGCAGGTACATGTTCCTGGAAAGATGACTCAAATGACAATACGTGGTTGGTCACCTCCAGGACAGTCCAACTCTCCACTTGTTACATGCTGTATTCTGTATGATAGTTCACAGCAGGTCTTCACAAAAGTTGAAACTGATTAAGCTGGCATGTGTAAACATCACGTGATGTGGGGCGGTGGGGTAGCCTTGTGGCTATAGCGTTCACTCATCACGCTGAAGACCAAGTTCGATCCCTCACATAGGTACAGTGTGTGAAGCCTATTTCTGGTGTCCCCAGCCGTGATATTGCTTGAATATTGCTAAAACCAAACTCACTCACTCAGGTGATACACATTTACATACTCACGTGTGCACACAATACATTCATGAACTGTGTAGAATTGTGCAACATGCCTGTTGATTTAACGGAGACTTTTTCTTGATATTTTCAGCCACACAAGTATATCTTCGTACTCCCCACATTCGGCATACGCAAGTTCCAAACTTGCTGTGATTATGTCAACCTACATACTCAGCCAGTTGCTGAAGGGAGATAACTCTAATGTGACTGCCAACTGTCTCCATCCTGGAGTTGTCAATACAAATTTGTATGACAATATACACTGGTCAGTTCGATGGGTCATGGATATAATGCGTCATCTGTTCTTCAAGGTACTGTCACGATTGAATCTCATGTCACCAACCTCCTTGGTCTGCAAATGTGGAAGGGTAGTCTAGTGGTTAAAGTATTCACTGTTCCTCTTCACCTTCAAGGGGGTGGGGTAGTCTAGTGGTTAAAGTATTCACTGTTCCTCTTCACCTTCAGGGGGGATGGGTAGTCTAGTGGTTAAAGTATTCACTGTTCCTCTTCACCTTCAGTGGGTGGGTGGGGGTAGTCTAGTGGTTAAAGTATTCACTGTTCCTCTTCACCTTCAAGGGGTGGGGTAGTCTAGTGGTTAAAGTATTCACTGTTCCTCTTCACCTTCAGGGGGTGGGTAGTCTAGTGGTTAAAGTATTCACTGTTCCTCTTCACCTTCAGGGGTGGGGTAGTCTAGTGGTTAAAGTATTCACTGTTCCTCTTCACCTTCAAGGGGTGGGGTAGTCTAGTGGTTAAAGTATTCACTGTTCCTCTTCACCTTCAGGGGGATGGGTAGTCTAGTGGTTAAAGTATTCACTGTTCCTCTTCACCTTCAGGGGGGTGGGGGTAGTCTAGTGGTTAAAGTATTCACTGTTCCTCTTCACCTTCAGGGGTGGGGTAGTTTAGTGGTTAAAGTATTCACTATTCCTCTTCACCTTCAGGGGGTGGGGTAGTCTAGTGGTTAAAGTATTCACTATTCCTCTTCACCTTCAGGGGTGGGTAGTCTAGTGGTTAAAGTATTCACTGTTCCTCTTCACCTTCAGGGGGTGGGGTAATCAAGGGTTAAAGTATTCACTGTTCCTCTTCACCTTCAGTGGGTGGGGTAGTCAAGTGTGAAAGTATTCACTGTTCCTCTTCACCTTCAGTGGGGTTGGTAGTCAAGTGTTAAAGTATTCACTGTTTCTCTTCACCTTCAGGGGTGGGTAGTCAAGTGTTAAAGTATTCACTGTTCCTCTTCACCTTCAAGGGGGTGGGGTAGTCTAGTGGTTAAAGTATTCACTGTTCCTCTTCACCTTCAGTGGGGTGGGTAGTCTAGTGGTTAAAGTATTCACTGTTCCTCTTCACCTTCAGTGGGGTGGGGCAGTCAAGTGTTAAAGTATTCACTGTTCCTCTTCACCTTCAAGGGGGTGGGTAGTCTAGTGGTTAAAGTATTCACTGTTCCTCTTCACCTTCAAGGGGTTGGGTAGTCAAGTGGTTAAAGTATTCACTGTTCCTCTTCACCTTCAGTGGGGTGGGTAGCCAAGTGTTAAAGTATTCACTGTTCCTCTTCACCTTCAGTGGGGTGGGTAGTCAAGTGTTAAAGTATTCACTGTTCCTGTTCCCCTTCAGGGGGTGGGGTAGTCAAGTGTTAAAGTATTCCCCTTCAGGGGGTGGGGTAGTCAAGCGTTATTGTATTCACTGTTTCTCTTCACCTTCAGTGGGGTGGGGTAGTCAAGTGGATAAAGTATTCACTGTTCCTCTTCACCTTCAGGGGGTGGGGTAGTCAAGTGTTAAAGTATTCACTGTTCCTCTTCACCTTCAGGGGTGGGTAGTCAAGTGTTAATGTATTCACTGTTCCTCTTCCCCTTCAGGGGTGGGTAGCCAAGCGTTAATGTATTCACTGTTCCTCTTCACCTTCTCCTGGGATATAGCTTACCTATGTCTAAACTAACGTTGTCACTCTGAGGCGTGAGTGGATCATTATGTACATGTGCCAAGTAAATATATTTCATAATTCTGCATCCACCTTTTTATCAACTTTTTCAGTTCTTTCCACTGATAACTTAGTATATTTTATGAGTTACAAGTATGTAATATTTCACTTTTTTACTTAAGAGAATGGTCAATTCTTACATCAATTTCTCAAAATTGTTCTTTTTCAGAATGCCATTGAAGCTGCTAACAGTGTGGTGTTCTTGGCACTCTCTCCCTTGGTTGAAAGTCATACTGGAGGTTACTATGACAACTGCAAAGTCAGCCAATCAAAGCACTGTACTTACTCTAAGACATGTCAATATAATTTAGAAAAAATGTCTTGTGAACTTCTGGGTATTCAGAGTTTCAGTCAGACATCCTGACCAAATGACTGTCACCATTTTTGTATTACCAATATATTTATTTATAGTCCTAGTCTGTTGGAGCGAATATTGATGGCACTGATGCAACCTTTGTTCCCTTTTGTCCTTGAATCCTCATTGGATTTGTCTTTCTGGGGAATAATTTGAGCGGAAACTGATCTTGTATTAAAAACTTTGTCTTCGAGAAAGATAGATCAATTTGATGCTCAATACTGATTACAAGTTGATCCAAATATTAACATTTGTCTCGCTATCTTGGTTTGATGTTGGATTTCCAGACAAGAACAAATTGCCTTGCCATTCTGATCACAGCTTCACTATCACCATCATCCCGCTGACGAACCTGCTTGAGTTTGGTGACAGAGGACACACTGTCTGTTTTGGCCCAATACAGACACAATGCCATTACATTCAAGTCACCAGTTGTGACAACGTAAACATCTTTTCCCTTTGACCGTCGAAGATGGCTACAGGAAGATCTGGGCTAATACCCATGGTGAACTGAGCCATCCCAGATCATCACACACATGAATTGGGGCTTTGGCACTCAACGCCAACAGCTCTGTCAAGGACATTGGTCCAAGGATGTTTTTCTTAGTGCAACTTCATCACCTTCGGCCCCTGGGATCTGTCAGTCGAAGACATCAATGGAGTGCACATATTCCGGCCTCTGAATTTGTCGACATCAACACAGAGGTAGAGGTGCGACGATCTGAGATGCCCCAAGCTGTTACCCTTGCATGTTAGGTATTGGATGATTGCCTAACTCAGTACCAAGAATATTGCATATCGTAAGGGCAACAACGGTTCCTGATGTTTTGAGCAACAGTTGCAACATAATCTGGATCAACTTATCACCTGTCCTTGGTCGAAAGATGGCGAATACTGGGGAGCAGGCTGGGAGGAAGGTGGTTGGAATACGTGTTCGAGTGAATGTTCTACTTTGTTCTAAACTATTGATAGAGTGAGTGAGTGACTTTAGTTTTAAGCCGCCTTTAGCAATATTCCAGCAATATCACGGCAGCATTTTATGATCGAAGATGGGAGAGATACGGATACTATTGTGTCAATATAAGTGTAGAAATAAGGGGACATCCTGTGTTTCAGTACCATTGATACAGTTATGTATTTGAGTGACCCTGTATATGTGTGTTTTCTATTGTATTATACATGTGTTTCAGTACTTTAGTACAATTACATACTGTGTCGTCTTCTCAAGTCATATTTCTACTCACTGCTCAAAACTATCGTCAAACATATGACTTATATGAAAAGAATACCGACTCAACGTGCACTGGCATATGAAAACTTGGCTGACAGCCTGACACACATGCTCGTTAAAGCGGATATATGTGGCTAGATTTTTTTTGGTACACACGAAAGAACTAAGTCGGGGAAAAGCGACCGTAGGTCAAAAATATTAAATTGAATGTAACCGAATACAATAGCTGTTATCTCTACTGTCATTTTATGGGCATTTGTCTCTGCAAGATTAAGAAGACAGCCAATGTACAGTTACGTCATGTATATTTTGATTTCATGTAATGTATTTGCTAAAATATAATATATCGTTTTGATTGTGCTTTTAAGATTTTCTTTCCGTGTAACATTGTGGAGCTTACATCAGGTGTTCTAGCACCATCCGGGGGACCACACTCCACCCCAGTTTTTGGGATTGGCCTTGGGGTCTTCAGGGGGGTAGTGTGCCGGCACCATGGACTGTCTCCACCCCTCCAGTCTCTGCTTCATGGAGGCCAGGAGGTCGGGGAACTCGGTCGCCAGGTCATGGTGTTCAGTCGGGTCAGCTGGAAGGGGCAATACGTTTTAGTGTTAAACTGGTCCAATGATAAAGTTTCACTACAAACTTGACGTTCAGGTAGCCCATTTATACACGTTGGCTCCCGTCTAAGCAAACTAAAGAGTAAAACAAATGGACGATTCAGTCATCTTTATTTAGATTATGGGTGTATGTGAAAACGTATTTTGAACCAAATACACATTTTACACAATACAACAGGTGTTTTAACACCATCCGGGGGACCACACTCCACCCCAGTTCTTGGGATCACCCTTGGGGTCTCTAGGGGGGTAGTGTGCCGGCACCATGGACTGTCTCCACTTCTCCAGTCTCTGTTTCATGGAGGCCAGGAGGTCGGGGAACTCGGTCGCCAGGTCATGGTGTTCAGTCGGGTCAGCTGGAAGGGGCATATACGTTTTAGTGTTAAACTTGATAATGCTGCCAACTCAAAATATCTTCAAATTCATAATACTGTAGTCTACATAAGTCCACACATGAAATGCCCGTTTTGCTGGGTGCTCCCTGGGCTGTGACCCATGCTTGTCGTAAACGGTGACTAACGGGTCGGGTGGTCAGGCTCGCTGACTTGGTTGACACATGTCTTTGTATCCCAATTCATGCTGTTGATCACTGGATTGTCTGGTCTTGGCTCGATTATTTACAGACAGCTACCATACAGCTGGAATATTGCTGAATGTGGCGTTAAACAACAAACCAAACCATCCATCCACCTCAGAGATCTAGTTGACCTACCATCATGAACCCTGACATACCTGTAATGTTATACAGCTGGTATAAAGGCCATGTCTTTTTGTCCACTTGGATATCTTCATCCAACCTCGGCAATGGGTACCAGTCGTTGTAGGGGCCGGGTTTGCCGTGTATCAGCTTCAGATCCCCATACCTAGGGGAGACAACACATATCTTCACCCGTACACTGCACATGTCTCTAATCAGGGTAGGAAAGTGTCAAATGTATGGTCAGCTTATATACTAACACAAATAGGTAAATAAGTCCATGGTAGTGAATGGATCTAGGCATTGACTATAATAAAATATGTCAATGGAGTATCACGGATGGGAAAACTGGATTAGCAACAAACCTGATGGCCGAGTTGTTCGCGAGGTCATCTATGTTGTACACAAACTCCTGCCTGTTGCTGGGCGAGTTCCGACTCAGCATGTCCCACTGGTTCACGCCATCCAAGCCAGGGTCTGAGATGACAAGCAGTTAATGTCAATACCATAAGGAGAGTGTTGGGAGAAACAAATGGCTCAAGACGGTTGGTTGCCCTGACCATGATACGCATCATATTATAATCAAAACTCCAAATACAATGATTGGAGTATTGGTAGTTTATGTAGCTGATTTGGTCATATACGTTTCGTCATGGCTGTATGATTTTTGCATTAATAAATCATACATGGGAAACCCATTATCAATATCACAGTTCTAATAAAGCACATTTTTGCCCTGAACAAATATAGTTAAAGTACGAGGACGCTCGCGTCCGAGTGCTTTAACGTTATAATAGTTCAGGGCAAAAATGTGCTTGTTCCCATGTTCAGGTAGTTTATTACACTATATATGGGGGTAGAGCGAACTGTATTTCTTTCCTCAGATGCCAAATTTAATACACACAGGGATTAATCAAGGCAGAAAACAATCAGAAAAGCGACGGTGTCGGTGACCTAAATTAACCATCCTCGTTCTGGGCTAGCTGACGGGCTCTTCCAGTGACGTGTCTGCTCCCCTACGTTAAGACGCACGTTGCCGTGAAAACAACGTAATTCAATCGCATCTGTGATTAACGTAAACCATAATAGCAATATGGATGTCGCGTTTCTACTACCAATGTAAGTTTAGAACCCTAAATCAGATGAAGCTGGAGTCACGCGACATTCCACGGATGCATTGTGGAACTGTAAACATTGCGAACGTTGCCGTGTCTATAATTGTGAGTCGAGCTGAGACATTTCCTTTCTGTCTAAAAGCAAAAAAGTAATGTTTCCACCAGTGATGTTAGCCGAGTGAAGCAACTGCAAACCGAGAAACGGAGACCGTAGGAGACTGTACGAGGCGATGACAACTGACATGCATCGTGACGTCGGTTACCAAGGGTACGTTTGATAACGAGGTGACAGACGAGCAATGGCATATTGACGTCAACACAGTGTGACGTCATGCAAAAACTGCACTTTATCGCCTTATAAAGTACTGTCGGTGCCATTGATCCTTTAGAAAAGTATCTTAGAAATCCTGGTATAGTAGGAATAATGCAAAAATGTCATACACTCAACTCACTCACTAACTGGCTCACTCATTCACTCACTCACCTGGTCGACCCCCAGCCAGGTGGAGGAGTGTTGGGAACCAGTCAACTGCGTGTATCATTCTGCAACACACAAACTGGCTGTTTGCTACAAAAGGCAAATGTGCCTAGTAATTTCCTAAAGCGAGCAAGACACTGAAAGAACTATTCAGCCAGGACTAAACACAGGCCCGTGAAGGACATGAGTCATACACTTTTCATCATTTATCAGTGGCCACACATAAGACAATATATCATTGATCAGCGAGGGCGTGGCTTGAATACAAACTGTTTCAGAAATGGTTGTCAATTACACATTTTCTTGCGTCAAAGTTTCAATTTATATTCAACTGACACAATCAAGTGCTGATTTATGTTTTGAAATATATGGCGACTACCAGTGATGACTCACCTTCTCCCAGTGTAGCCCACCCCGAATGATAACTCACCCAATGTTCGTGCAACCTACCCTTAATGATGACTCACCCAATATTCGTGAAACCTACCCTTAATGATGACTCACCCAATACTCATGAAGCCTACCCTTAATGATGACTCACCCAATGCTCGTGAAACCTATCTCTAATGATGACTCACCCAATGATCGTGAAGCCTACCCCGAATGATGACACACCAATGCTCGTGAAGCCTACCCTTAATGATGACACACCAATGCTCGTGAAGCTATCTCTAATGATGACTCTCGCCCAATACCCCGAATGATGACACCCAATGCTCGTGAAACCCCTACCTAATGATGACTCACTCTAACGCTCGTGAGGCCTATGAAGCCTACCCTGAATGATGACACACCCAATGCTCGTGAACCCCACTCCTAATGATGACTCACCCAATATTCGTGAAGCCTACGCCTAATGATGACTGACTCAATGCTCGTGAAGGCCTACTCCGAATGATGACTCACCCAATATTCGTGAAGCCTACGCCTAATGATGACTGACTCAATGCTCGTGAAGGCCTACTCCGAATGATGACTCACCCAATATTCGTGAAGCCTACGCCTAATGATGACTCAACCAATACTTATGAAGCCTACCCTTAATGATGACTCACCCAATGCTCGTGAAACCTATCTCTAATGATGACTCACCCAATGTTCGTGAAACCTACCTCTAATGATGACTCACCCAATGCTCGTGAAACCTATCTCTAATGATGACTCACCCAATGCTCGTGAAACCTACCTCTAATGATGACTCACCCAATGCTCGTGAAACCTACCTCTAATGATGACTCACCTATGTTCGTGAAACCTACCTCTAATGATGACTCACCCAATACTCATGAAGCCTACCCTTAATGATGACTCACCCAATGCTCGTGAAACCTATCTCTCATGATGACTCGCCCAATGTTCGTGAAACCTACCTCTAATGATGACTCACCTATGTTCGTGAAACCTACCTCTAATGATGACTCACCCAATGCTCGTGAAGCCTACCCCGAATGATGACACACCAATGCTCGTGAAGCCTACCCTTAATAATGACACACCAATGTTCGCGAAGCCTACCCCGAATGATGACACACCCAATGCTCGTGAACCCCACTCCTAATGATGACTCACCCAAGGCTCGTGAAGTCTACCCGTATTGATGACTCACCCAATGCTCGTGAAGTCTACACGGACTCACCCAATGCTCGTGAAGCCTACCCGTAATGATGACTCACCCATTGCTCGTGAGGCATACCCGTAGTGATGACTCTCCCAATGCTCGTAAAGTCTACCCGTAATGATGACTCATTCAATGCTCGTGAAGTCCACCCCAAATGATGATTCACTCCGTGCTGGTGTAGCCTACCCTTAATGAGGACTCACCCGATGCTCGTGTAACACGAACTCCTAAGGATGGCTAACCCTGTCGATGACTCACCCTGTGTTGGTGTAGTTCAACTTCTCCAACAACGTCTTACTGTACACGAACGCCGTCCCTTTGGTCCCTCCTTCCCACAGAGTCTTCTTGCCTCCTCGGAGAGGCAGGTTGTTCGACCCAGCGTAAGTAGGACCACCGTTCTGTTTCAATACATTTTATCATTACTCATTCTGTAACCGATATTTACATTAATGTCCCTGCTACTTACTTATTTAACTCTAGTCATAAAACCACATTAAAGAGTTAAAGCGTTCACTCGTCACGCCGAACCCCCGGGTTCGATTCTCCACACGGGTACAATGTGTGAAGCCCATTTCTGTTCCCCGCCGTGATATTGTTGGAATATTGCAACAAGCGGCGTTAAACCCAACTCATTCACTCACTTTCCCATAAAACCCTGTACGCCCCGTTGTTGACACGCTTACCTCATAAGTCTTTGGACCAATATTACCAATACTACCAATACTGCCAATACCACCAATACTACCAATACTACCAATACTACCAATACTGCCAATACTGCCAATACTACCAATACTGCAAATACTACCAATACTACCAATACTACCAATACTACCAATACTGCAAATACTGCCAATGCTACCAATACTAACAATACTGCCAATACTACCAATACTATCAATAGTGCCAATACTGCCAATACTACCAATACTGCCAATACTACCAATACTGCCAATACTACCAACACTGCAAATGCTACCAATACTACCAAAACTGCCGTAGTGCCAATACCGCTGCCATACTACCAATCACTGCCAATACTGCCAATGCCTACCAATACTACCAATACTGCTAATACTACCAAATACTGCCAATACTACCAATACTGCCAATACTACCAATACCATGCTGCCACTACCATACTGCAAATACTACCAATACTGCCAATACTACTGCAAATACTACCAATACTGCAATACTACCAATACTACCAATACTGCCAATACCATTAATACTGCAACAATACCAATACTGCCAGTACTACCAATCACTACCAATACTGCCAATTATATCAATACTACCAATACCAATTGTACCAACCGCAAATACTACCAATACTACTAATACTAATATTACTACTACCAATACTACCAATACTACAAATACTACCATACTACTACCAATACTACCAATACTACCAATACTCGCCAATGCCACCAATACCGCCAATACTACCAATACTGCCAATACTGTCTGCACTACCACTACCATCACTACTGCTATGCCAATACCACCAATACCAATACTGCCACTACCATCATGCACCAATACCGGCCAATACCGTGCCAATGTCACTACCAATACTGCACTAATACTGCAAATACTCGCCAATACCGGGCCATTACCGCCAATAATACCAATATCCAATACTACCAATACTCACCAATATCACATCACTGCTACTACCAATACTACCAATACTGCCAATACTACGTATACCAGTCTGCAGATGACACGATTGCGCAAGGACCGGCATTTAACTAAGGAAACCCCAGTTATGTGTCCCCGTCAAGTTGACATACTAACGCACGTCGGTGGTGAAGACAAGAAGGAGGTTGTCTATGAGGCCGCTGTCTCGTAGTGCCTGGGTGATGTTGCCGATCGCCTCATCCAGTGCCGATACCATGCCTGGCATG